TGGGAAGAAGACATTATAAGCTGATTAGCATAACTTTGATAACCAAAAAGGTGTCTTCAGAGTTGAAGTAGATCTTGCATTGCTTTAGCTTGCTGTCTTAAAAGTAGGCTCGAAGTAATTTAACCAGTTTATTACCTCAGTTAATCTAGTTTAGTCCTAAAATTCTTCCAGATCATTTGTTTCCTCACTTGTGATCTATTGATTATATGCTTTGCTAACTATTATGAAGCACACAGGTACAATTATGTTAATAAACTGAAGAAAACAGCATTCAATATTACTGTCTTCACCAAATGAAATGGTATTATCAAAATCATCAGATAGTGGGTTGTAAAGGAAGTACTTTTTGACACAGCACACAATTAAACTCTGGAACTCATTGCCACAGAATGCTGTGAATGCCAGCCATTTAAATGGGCTTAAACAATAAGATGAATTCATGCTAGAAAAGCTCATTAAGGGCTATTGAGTAAACAGATGCGGATGCAACTTAAGTATTGCTGCAGCCTGGAAAGATGTAGGGAAGAAAAACATCCATCCAGTGTACATCAATGCTTTTGCCCCCCAACTCTGTTTCCCTGCCCTGTACAGGGGGCTGAAGATAGGTGACTAAGCTAAATGGCCTTTTTGCTCTGGTCCTGTATGGTAACTCTTGTTACCTGTAAGCCAACTTCTGCGTTGCTGAAGTTGGAAGCATCTCTTCTGTTTCCCTTTTCTGTAAACACAATCAGAGGTACTTGCCTTTTTCTTCTGTGCTGGAGCTTTGGTACCTGATCTTGTGCTGTTTCTGCATGCAGGGCTTGCTTTTCCCCCCTTTCTTTTTACAAATAGAACTGCCTGCCTTATTGTTAGCAGGCTGAGGACTAAGTGGTGCTACATCCTTCTCTTCCTCCTACATTTTAGAATGGGCTGCTCCCTTCATGTTTGTTTAGAAGCATTTTATCACTTCTCCCATGGAGCTGTGCCTCTTTGGCACTGTCAAGTGCTGGATGATGAATCAGTTGATTCTGCTGTTCTGGTATTTTGCTAATTGAAGTGTAACTTTTGGACATGGGCAGTATCATTTGGTTCTCTCTAAGTTTTCAGAAAAATTATTGTTTTAATGTGTTTGGTTTTTTTTTAAAACCACTGCAGATATCTTGGGATTTCCCTCTGCTGTTCTGTTTCTGTCAAAGCTATACTGGTCTTAGAGGTTCTACATCTGGATTTGATGTTAAGATTGACTTCAGATGTGTGTGAAAAATTGTGGGCCTCTGATGTTAAGTCACTGAACTTCTAGACAGGTGGTAAAGGGATCTTTTCTATGGAACAGATATTGTTCTTCTTTTCTGTTTTTTTCATGTTTCTTGTTTCCCTTTCTCTCTTTTACACCAAAGACAGACATAACAGACTCTTTCCTGTTTGGTATAAGCAGGAAATGTTTGGCTGCATAGGGATCTAAAATATTAATGCCAGCTGAGCATACTCAGCTGTTTCAGCTGTTTGCATCCCAAATTTCTTCTGTCCAAGCAGTCTTTTTAATCCTTGGCTAATGCACAGTTTTCAAGTTTCAAATTTAGGCTGTCTTTTGACAGTAGCTTTAAAGTCAGCAGGGTTAGGTACATTTGAGATTTAGTTCTTAAAGGTGTGTTTGTGAAATAAGAGTAGGCAATTGGTGGAAAGTATGAGGAAAATAACTCAAGTAGCTGAAAAGACTCTGCTTTGACTGTTAAAAAACCCAGATTCTTCAAGGAGAAAGGAGGCCTGGAAAACCAGCCCAAAAAGAATATGAACTGTTCCAGCACTTGAAATATGTGGAAAATGAACTAATAACAAATAGACACAGTAACCTTAGTTAAAACTGGCACCAGTTGACTACAACAAAATTCCTCCCATCTTCCTGAAAGCTTTATTACAAGTTACACAAGTGGCCATTTTATAATACATCACAGTTCTCAGACCAGTAGTAAAACAAGTCACTGCTTGCTTTACATCTGAGCTCCTTTGGTTTGAATAACTCTAGGAGGTTTATTTTCATTGTGCTTGTGTGTCTAAAAATGAGACTATTTCCTTGTCTTTCAAAATGAAACATGCTTTGCCTGAGGGAGTTTCTATGCAGGCTGGATGCCTAGCGTCTCAGTATGGTGACCTGCCATAATGCTGCCTGTTCTCTAGAGCTGCTGGCTTTTTTGTTGGTTTGGGTTTTCTCCCTATTTTTTTTTTTTCCCTTCCTCTTCTCACCCCGAAGGAAATGTGATATTGGTCTTCTTGAAGGAAAACTGCATGAAGAAAAAAGTCAAAGTGCTAACTGAGATGAGGTTGGCTTTTCAGACCTAGGTATGCCATTTAGGCCAAGTGTATTTGCAAAGGGATGATTTATCATTTCAGATCCTTAACCTAAATGGAAACTACTCATCTCGGCAGGATCTGTGAGGGATGGTTAATTCAAGCCATTTCAGACCAGCCCCCCTGCTTATCTTAACTGTCATGGAGAAGTGCTCAGTCTTGCAGCACAAAAAGGGATGGAAGGAAGGGCTTCTGAAAGTCTTTTGCTTCAATTCACCTGCTGTTTTGCTCAGCTCTTGATAAAATGAGTTAAACTCACGTGGGAGATGTTGTCCTTTTAAATGAACCAAGTGTGGGGCAGTCATCTCTGTACTGTACCGTGCTCTGGATCTGCTGCTTTTTTGCTGAACCTCTTAAACACAACCCCCTTTTTTTTTTTTTCCCTTGCCTGCGGAAGTCTGGCTCTTGCAATGAGCTCACCCACAACAAAAGCTCCTTGGAGTTCTGTTCAGCTCCAGCAAGGACCTTCCTAACAACGGCTCCTTTCCTGTCATTCTCTCGCCTACTAGACATAGCAGCTGTATGAGTATTTGGGTGGGGAAGGAAGGAGATTGCAACATCCATTAAGGAAAAAAAAAGAAGGCTTGTCTGTCTCTCACTTTTCAAGTGCAGCTGGAAAACTTTCCTTGGCCTTTGAAAACTGAGTTCTGCCATGTAGTGGGTGCAGGCTGTGGAGTCCGACAGCCTTTGAAGTTAGTGCTTTAAATAGGCAATTGCAAATGGGATCCAAATTTAAGCTTTTGAAGCAGTTTTGCTGCAAGCTGGAATAAGCTACTTGTTCTGATAGTGCACTGTGGATGCCTCACCTCTGCATTTGTCTCCAAGACATCAAACCATATTCACTGTGATGGCAATAGATCTGAGTTGTAGAACGAACATCATGTTGCAACCAACTTTGTATTTCCCTGTGAGACTTCAGTCCTCTTTTTTTAACAGAGGAGCTGTGCCAGCTGTGACTGCAGACTGCTGTGTTCTTGTGATGGCAGTCACAGATACAAACCTGTCCTCAAGTGTCTGAACTAAGAATGGCCGAGAGGCTCTGTGTCTGTCTTCTGTATTTCATTCATCTATTTACAAGGAAAATGTACTGCTGGCTACACAGGAAAAGGCAACTAAGAGCCCTAAAGCATTTATTTTTCTCATCTGTAGTGTTTTGACTGCTAGGAGACTTAACTTCTGCTTGGTATGCAGAACTTCGTGGTTCTTAATCTGTAGGCATTGGAGATAAAAACATTGTTTGCACAAGGAGTTAACAGGTAGAGCTGCACACAGTTTTTTTCTATTCTAATCTAAGGTAAGATGATCTGAACAGGCATGGTGAGTTTGAAGCAAGTTGTGCTGCCCTAGCAAGAACATGTCTCTCTTTTGGATATTTGCACTGCATACCTTTTTGTATTGACCTAAAGTCCCCTGATTGTCCATTGAGAAGTAGCCTTCTTACCTGTATGCACAATCAGATGTCCTTGGAGAAGGGAAAAATAGGGATGAGAAAGGAAATTGTGTTGTGTTGCTTTGCTGCTGCCTTCTTTTTAAGTTACTAATGGGAAAGTTTCCAGTAAATGCCTGGACAGAGAGAAGTTCAGTCCAGAAAACGGGAAAACCTCACTTTTCAACAATACTTAGTTAGATTCCAGATCTTACCCAGGTCTCTTGAGAAATGTTTTTCCTGTATCCATTGTCTTAATGTAGTGCCTTTCCTAATCATTCTTTGTCATCTCCAAGGTTCTGGAAGAGTGAGTGTTTCCAGGGTGTAGGTGGAAGGAAAAGAGTTTGCGCATTGCTGCTTTGCTTCTCATAGTGATACTGCGTTAATCAAGAGTAGTGACTCATAGAAAATGAAGACTGGATAATTCAAGTGATTATTTATCACTTCTGTGGTCTACAGGATTATTTCCTGCTGGAGAAAATAGCCCGAGGCACTCACTTTACTGCTAGGGAACACATCTTCATATTTATTCTGAATTTTTCCTTTCAGTAACTCAAAGCTAAAATCTTTAGAAATCTTTAGAAAGCTTCTCCTTTCTTGTTATTACTTCTTTGTGATCTACCATATGACCCTGCATAACTCAGAGATTGCAGTGGCAGAGCCAGCTTTCAGCTCCAGCTCTGCCTCTAGAAGCCAAGTCCCACATTGGTCTAGAGCAAAAAGAGAATCAACCCATTTTTGTGACTGTCCTGAGTGCAGCTTTTCCCTCCCATGCTGCTTTTAAGCCTCATCCCTAAACCTGACACAACAACTGAAACCACTTGTTCCAGCTTGGAGCCTGAAAAATCTATCTTAACCCTTGTAAAGGCACATGGGGGTGGTGTTTGTTTTGTTTAAGTCTGCTTTTATGATATTTTAGCAATCTGCTCTGTCCAACTGAAATTAACACTTTTGTCATGTGCACTAAAGTTAGGTGCTTCAAAGCTTTAAAAGATTAAAAATACCAGTTGCTGTTCTTGAGGCAAAACTAATACCCTCCAAACCCCTGTTTGTTTTGTTTTTTTTAATCTGTTGCTTTGTAGTGGCCAAAAGCCTTTTTGGGAAGGAATGAAAACAGTAAGTAGGAGATGTTTCTGATGTGACTATTGTCTTTTTCATCCTGTCACTTTAGACCTTGGAAGAGGGGTGGTTTGCTGTCAGTGTACTTACCTGTACTTACCTTTCTGGCTCTTTTCTTTTTTCCACATAGGATGAGGAGAGTCTAAAATATTTAACTCACGAAGAGCAGGATGTTCTCATGTTCTTTGAGGAAACCATAGATGCCTTAGAAGATGACTTGGAGGAGCCAGTCCTACGTGACAGTGGCATCCACTGTCAGTCTCCAAGGTCAACAGAAGAAAATGTGTCCAGTCACTCAGACACTGAAGATATCATTGACTTGGTACAATCAACACCAGAGAGCAGTGACCATGAGGGCCCTCCTAGCAGAGGTGCAGAACCAGGTAGTAGTATTTCTTTAAAGTGTGGTTTTCCCTTTGACCGAGCCCTGACATACTCCAGGGCTCAACAGAAACAGCTAAACAAATTCTGTACCTTCCTTTGTGTGTCAAGATTAATCAGTTACACATCAGGAGCTCTAAGGACCATGATTTAATTTTACTTGAGTTCTGAAATTCTTGCTGCTACTGTAACTTCTTTTCCTCATTGAGGTCATGCATATGATTAAGTTGTTGGGCTGCTACCTTGGTTCCCTGTCCAGTGGTGTTCATCAGTGTGTTCATGCTCTGCTTCTCTCTAAGACCATAAGACTTTCTCTAAGAGTTTTAAGATAAAAAATTGTTTTTAGTGATAGTTTTTGTGGTACTGAAAGCCACATGAATCCTATGAATTAGTTTGTGATGAGAGTGTGCAGGGTGTTGTTTTGTTTGTGCTGCAGAGTTGGCTCTCTCTGGTTTTGGAGAATGTATTTATCAGCTAGTACAGACAGTGGGATGTAATGTGTCCTTTCCTGGCTATTATCATAAGCAAGAATTGCAAAACTGTGACAGAAAAAGCAGCTAGTGAAACACAGGAAAGCTAACGTGCAGCTTGTGAATGAATGGTGGAAAGAGGGCTTCCAGTGAACACATCGTAAATGTGAGGGTTTGAACTGTAGCAGCACCTACATGGTGCCATTGCTAGGAGTTCAGTTACAGTTTCTTCTGGCAACGTGGGCTGAGTTTGAGTTGGAATGTTTGGGGGAGTTCTGATGCTTGCTAATCAGAGATGAAGGATAGCCTTGTTTTCTGCTCTTTGTGAAGACCTAGTAACAATATTGCTGTTTTTTCTTTTCAGTGTCAGATGTTACCTGGAGACCTGAGAGCCCTAAGCCAGCTGTACCTGCTGACCTTCCTTCACATCCTCCTGTACCACCACCATCAGTGTCTGAGACAACTCCTCTTCCTCCTCCACCCCCTCCTCCAGTGCAGCATCCAAAATTGCTTCGCTCTGTCCCCACTCCGCTCATCGTGGCCCAGAAGATTTCTGAGCAGCAGCTGGAGAGCAGAGCGCGCTTCCCCAGTGCCCTGAAGGAAGGGAATTCCGACAGGAAGAAAACCCCAGTAGCCAATGGGGATCATTTTGCTGGTCCAAAGCACCCTCCTGCACCTGCACCCAAACTGCACCGGTTCCCAAGCAACATCAACATAACAAATGTCAGTGGCAAAGAATTCAGTGAGACCATTTCAAAAGCAGCAGTTAACGTCCAGGAGCGGAGAGCCCAGGTGCTGGCCAACATCAACGGAGGAGCTTTTCTGGCAGCTGAGCTGGAGGAGAAGCTGCAGAAAAATGATTTCTTGTCACGGAACAGAAGTTCTTCCTTAAGGGATCTCTCCTCTGAGCAAACGCGATATGAGGCCCTGACAAAGCTTGGCCTAGTTAAGGGAAAGCCAGCTCAGGACCAAGTGGACCATGCCCCAAGCACTCAGCAGGTTGATGTGCAGCCCAAACAGGCAGACGCTGTTCCCAATGGATATCAAAACATCCACGATATTTTAAAAAGTGAGCCCAGCCCTTTCCTTCCTATGGGCAAAACTGTAACAATCAAACCAGAGGTAGCTCTTGCTGCTAACAAGGTCAGCAGCACGCAGCAGAACACGGCAAAAAGTTTTAGTGATAGTAATAAACAACCTAGTCTAAGCCTGGATTTGAGGAGGAGATCAGGTTCACTGCCTAGACCTTCAGGATTTCGATCCCAAGGGATAACAGTGAAGTTTTCTGGCCGTGGCTCAACAGAAGAAGCTAGGAGGGAGGCCCTTCGGAAACTGGGACTACTGAAAGAGACTGCTTGATTTGGATAGGAATGGTTTGGCAATGGCGGGGGAAGTCCTAGCATGGCTTTGTGCTAGAATAGTCCCAACAGGATTGGGATCAAACAGATTGGAAGAAGGAGGGGGAAGTTCTCTGCCTCAAGCAAGCTAAGGAAGGTACTTGATACTCTGGAATGACCACTCGTGCTTATCCTGATAGGATATATGTACAGCAGTGGGTTTCAGCTCTCCTTCCTACAGAGATACTCATCTGTTGCTCTTTTGTGAATAAGAGGAATTTTATTTAAATATTGCTGAACTGTAGCAGACAGCATCTCATGAATGAAGTGTACAGTGCAGTATTGTTGTACATAGCAAACTGGTTGGCAAAGCTTCCTTTTGCTTTCTGAAGCCAAAACCGAGCTCCATTTTTCTTGCCCACAGGTGTATGTGTCTGTGTCTGTTGGTGGGAGATAAATATGTTATCAAAACTGAAATTTCTGAATAGCGTGACACGCTTCCATGACTTCTTGTTGTCTGTATTATCTGGCTTGGCTTTGTTCCCTACCAGTAGTGGAGTCTTCTGCCCCTTTGCTCTGCCCACTCTACTCAAGGCTGCACAGAGGGTGGTTTCTGGTTTGACCTTTTTAACTGAGCATCCCAAGCTTTGAGTGGGTGACTGCATCACTCTGTTGCTTCACTTGAAGTCCTGCCTTTCTCCCCTGCCACCTGCTTCTTGGTCATGCTCCAGCAGCCTGTGTGTGCAGCAAAGGGCACCAGACAAGCCTGGAGGATACGCACCATGCGCCGCTTTTCGCACCGACAGCCAAAGAGTCTCCCAGACAATCTGTGACCCCAACTGTTCTGCACCAGTGATGATCTTACAGCAGAGAAGCCATAGGAACAAGTTAACTTTGTACCAAATGCAGGAACCTTACGTCCAAAGTCTTACCTTTTACATTAGGGTTCCCATGAAGAAACTGTTACTTCTTGACCAACAGCTATAACCACACTGACTAGTTGTAAGTTCTGTTACTTCTAAAAACTGTCATTTGCTCTCCCTGTAGTTTGTCAGCCCAAATAACCTGTTCACGGCCTTATTTGGTTCTGCCCTGCCAATGCATAACAGAAGTTACAGCCAAAATGCTTGCAGGCTAAGTGGAGTTACAGGAGAGCTGGATGTGAGAGCACATTGCTCCTGAATGGCCCACGTTGGTGTGCTTTGCCTTTGTTTGATGGACGTGCTTTTAAAGTTGGCCCCAAAATATGTTTGTGTGCTGGTATGATTTTTTTTTTTTTACATGGCAAAGCTGCTCTTTGACATTCAAAGTCCCTTCCTTTTTTGTACACCTGAAAACATGCAGAATAGCCATTTTAAAATCAAATGCCAAACTCCAGACGCTCTAAATTTCTTGTTGTTCCTGCATGTTTTAAGTTCTCTGTGTTTTGGTTCTTTTCTAAAGGGAAAAATCTCACTGATTCTCTGCACTTTCTAAAGCCTCAAGCAACCCTCTCTTTTTCCCAAGAAGCTGAGTGAATAAACCTTGGAGAAGAGGTGGGGAGTGGCTATAATAGAAACTGACACACCCTTCAGAGGAGCTCTAACATAACTGTGATAAACAAGTTTGTAGTTCTTGTGATAAAAGTATTTCAAACGTGCTGAGCTGTACTTGTAAATGAAGCTGTCGTGAAGAAAGAATCTTTGCGTCGTTCTCAACCTGCCTCATAAGTTAAATTTTTGTTGTTGTCTCTTGGATTATTTTTAAATTATCTGCTTGCTGCTTAAATTTTTAATTGGGTTGTTATGGTATCTAGCTGGTTCTGTTATGTAGTTTATTCTTTTCAGCCTTTTCACTGGGTAAGTGATCATGTTGCTCGTTGTGACAGGCATACTATACATAAGTAATCAGTAATTAAAATACGTGGTCATTCCTCAGCCTGGCAAAGCACTTAGGCATGCATAGCCAAATGTGAGAAGTGTTGCTGAAACAAAAAAGGCTGCTTGCCTGCTGCAAGTAAAGCACATACTATATTGCTGGGCTCTGAATCTGTAGTCCTAAATCAGAAAGACAAGGAAGCACATAAAATACATCCAAGCACCTGCTTCAGTGCAGCCTTGAATGGAGTCCTACATGTGGACAGTGCATCATAATTTATTAACATAACCTGCTAAGTAAATTTAAATGTTTCATGACCTTTGTGCTTTTAAATCCTGTTGAAGCAAATTCTACATTATAAATGTGAAGTGCATACAAAGTAATCTTCACATCTAATCATTTCTTGCCAGGTCTTTGAGTTGTTTACAGCTGAGAGTCCATGCTAAGCAAAGAGGGGGAAAAAAACAAACCCTGACAGTTATTTTATTGAAGTTCAGTCCTATTCAATAACTATGTAACATAACCCTATTAAAAAAATAAATAAATTAGATGTTCAATATCTAAAGTATAAATTTACAGTATGTTGAATTAGCTGGATCATATTCTTTCATCCTTTGTGCAGGGCTACATCCTCAGCTGGTGGGAAGTGAGAGTTAGATCTTCATTAGATAACCCAGTTTCTGCCCAGTGAGGACATGGAATGAGGCATTCATTGTGGCCCTTCATTGTAGCAAATATCCTACTGGTAAATTCTTCTCCGTGCCTAAAACTATAGTAAGTAAAGCCATGTACTAAATGAAGTTAAGAGTCTAGCTGCTAATAACCTGTATATAAATTTAGCTCTATTTTGTGTATCTTGTTTTGTGTGTATATGTTGCTGTGATTTTAACTCCCTCATCCTTGTGTTAGAGGTATCTGTCTTGCACAAATCTGAAAAATCATATATTAAACTGGGATAAAACAAATTAAATGTTGGCTGATGGGAGGTGGAATCTTGTTCTGTGTCACCTAGTAGTGTGCATCTCTTTTGGAGAAGGAGTTCCTTTTTTAGTGGCTAATAGAAATGTAATAACTTTGCCACTGTGCATGTGTGTGTGTGAGCAAGAGCTTCATCCTGTCACACTGTGGGTAAAGGAGGGGGTGTGTGTGGGGGGAGGGAGATTGTTTGCCAAGACACATGTGTCCTTGCTTTTGGGCTTCAGGAACTGGGACCAGGGTCCCTGCTGGCAGGTATGAAGTTCATAGTCATGTAAAATCAGAGAATGGTTTGGATTGGAAGGGACCTTTTAAAAATCATCTAGATAGAACAACCCTGCATGGGCAGGGACACCTCCCACTAGACCAGGTCCTGAACAGTGTTTGAAGCAGGCAGAAGCTCCCCTCTCCTATTGCTTTTCAACACTAAACTGCCTTTTCCAAGAGGAATATTGTGCACAGGAAGGAACAGTAACTCTTGTTTCTGTGCCTGCCTTCCATGCATGTTACCAGAAGTGAGTCGTCCTGCTGAGGGGAGGAATCTTTCCTGTTGCACAGAATGAAATTCCCCTTTAGAGAGTATTCCTCCCTGTTCCTTCTGAGTGTGTGTTTGCTGCCTTTTTTTGTCTTATTTGTTTGGATACTGGAATATCAAGACTGCTAGGATAGTTACTTGGTTAGAAGTAAGTGCTGACTCTGGCCTGTATTACTAGTTAATGCTGCCAAGGAGATTATAAAGGGGAAGGCTTCTTAATTAAATGCTACATAGAGGTGGTGGCTAAATCATCTTGCTTGGGGACTTGTCCCATTTCAAGGAGGGAATGGCTTAGAGCCAGAATTAACACCCTTCGATTTAATAAAAAAACCAGCCATGACAAAACCCTCATAAGAGCTGTTCAGGAATGAGTGGGTGCTTTTTGCTCAGCCTCCCAGCAGGACCTGCAGTGGTTTCAGCACCATGTTCCTCAAGCAGCCTGCCGTGCATAGGAGGCTGGATCTTGGCACTACTACCCCAGGCTGTGCCTGAGAGCAGCTGGAATCCATGGAACAGTGGTACTGTTTTGCAGATGGATGTTTATTTTAATTGTATCTTAAATACAGGTGGTGTTGAGCATTTGTCCAAGTATCAGGGGTTATGTATTATAAAAGCTAGAATGGAAATCACTGTGGAAAAAGAAACAACTCTCATTTGCATGAGCTACTTTTTTCTCCCCAAGGCAGGATGTTGGTAGTAGCCAAAAAGCATCAGCAGGACTAGCAGCCTGTCCCCGAGCTTGCCAGGGTTGCCTTGGGGCTTGGGTACAGGTCTGAGCCAGGACAGGGCAGGTGGCCCCTCATAACTGTGTCCAGCTCCAGCCTGGAGCCACTGTGAGAGAATTTAACTTGGCTTAATTTGTAAGAAACTTAAAGTTACAGTACCTCACCTTTGCTGTAGGGTAAAACCTGACACAGCTGCCCAGTTAAGTCAGCCTTTCAGGTGGATGCAACTTTGAGAATAAGCTTTGATGTTTTGACTCCTTTTGTGCTTGCTTTATGCACACACACCAGAAAATGTTCCTGAATGAACTCAAGGCTGTCTTGTAACTGAACCCACAATGGTAAAAATTACTGAATGTTCTTCAGCCACAGGAGCCCAGGGTAGTGCAGCTCAAAAGCAAGGGTGAGTGCAGCAGTGGTGGGGTGGGATTGCTCAGGCTGCTCTGGAGGCAGCTGTAGAGCCAGTTCTCATGTGTATCCCATAACCCTGCAGCACCCACAACTGACTAACTTGTTCTTTGTGACTTAAGACCATATGCAAGTTGGTTGATCTCTTTCATGGGTCAGCACAGGAAGATGGACGGATGAATGTGAAGTGAGTGGAAAAACCTCAGAGTCTGTTTGCCTTAAACCCCTTTACCTCTAAATGTTACCTTTCTTTTGCACTAAGGATCTGACAGCAAGTTGGTTTGTTTTCATTTACCAGTCTACTTTTAATGCTTTGGGGAAGTTATGAGCTTGCATCCATGCTGGAATAGCAGTGGCTGCAGCTATGTTGGTAGCAGTCATGCAGAGGATAGTATCTTTTTCTATCTATTTTAATATTTACATCCATTTATATCTTTCTGTATATTATATCTAATAATATAGAGGGTGGTATCTCAGGGCTTGTGTTGAGAGGTTGCACAACTGCAGCCATGATGGCAGAGCAGG